CCATTGCCCCGGAGATAGCACTGGAGCTCCTCATGGCTGCAAACTTCCTAGATTGTTAGAGAAGTTATGGAGTTACATTACAAGGCTTTGGGTTTTAGGATCCATTTGTTTCAAGTTACATTTTTAGTGTTTGACTTTTTGCCATAAAAAATGTTAGTAGTGTGTACTATGTATGATTTGAAAGTTTTTGGTTTTCTTCTATAGAATGCTGTATTTCACTGCAGTATTTTCTTTTGTCATGGACAAGATTATAATTTTTGATATAATAAACTAATGTGATTGCATGTTCTGTTTGTGTTAAAAAAACTCAATCTTTCCTTGTACTGGCTCTGAAAACAACAGGCATACTTTAATAGCTGTCGTAAAAGTTGTTTCATGATAAATGCAGATTACCAGCAAAAGTAGAAGCTAATAGATTTTTTGTATTCTTTTGAACATGGACCCTCTACAAGGAAATTGCCAGTGAACTAATGTACTAAAACTATTGGTTAGTTTTTTTAATTATGACAACAAAGGATGGTAGTTACTTAATACATTGATTTATTCTCGTTTTTAAATTAGCTTATTTCTTTCTCGCATGATGCTCAGGTTTCCATCAGTGTCCAACCACAATGCAGAAACATGCAGCTGGGTGTTCCAGTGTCTAATTAGCCTGTAGTCTGTGATTGTGTGTGTGCCCTGCAACGGACTGGCATCCAAGCCAACGTGCACCCTTCTCTTGGGCCCTATGCTGTCTGCCTGTAGTCTGTGATTGTGTGTGTGCCCTGCAACGGACTGGCATCCAAGCCAACGTGCACCCTTCTCTTGGGCCCTATGCTGTCTGCAGTAGACTCTAGGGTCTTGTATATGATAATTGGTTGAAAGATGGATGTTTTAATGTCTAGTGTTTTTTAAATACTTTTGCCTACAGTCTACAGCAATACATTATATTTTAACACCAATCTCAAAATGATAGATCATACATTGCATGCTTTTAATAAAAATATACACAATTAGATTCAATTAAAACATTTCAATAAACAACTGGCAAGTTTTTCGTCAGTCACAATTATTATACCTGCTATTTATTTATAGACACAATCCCTGTATTAATGATAGTTGTACACATCAAGGCAGCTGCCTAGGGTCTGATAACCAGAAGAGGGTCCAGGCAGAATCTACTGAGGGGACCCCCCCCACCCCCCGATCAGCAAAGTTTACAAGGGAAACTGTCCTGTGCGTATTGATGTCCATGCAGACAAACTGCTAGATAGATACAGAATGAAACGTTTGTGCAGGGCAGTAACTATGATAAGTTACGATTACGATTCATTAATAAGGAGTGAGCAAAGCTGTTATGGAAAATCAGAAAAACGTCAAGAGATCTGCAGAGCCCAGATAGTTAAATGTGATGCCAAAATAATCAGCTAGACTCTCCAAGCTGGAGAATAAAACCAATAAATACACTTATGGGGTCAAAGTTTCAATATACCTAACACTTGCAGGTAACTTTAGTGGTCAGATAGTTTATTATTCACCGCGTCTGTTTTTATGTTTAACTTTCTGTCTATTACCTTTATTTTGCTTTATTTACTTAAGAAATTAAAGACTTCATCTTAGCCCACACTACCTTAAATCCGACAAGTTATCTGGCTAAGCAAAGATCCTGCTTTGTGATAAATGCCTATGGAAACGGATGTCAGCTGTGTCCTTGTTTGTAAATACGATGTAAACGTTCCCCCTTTTGGTTATAAAAAAAACACAAACAGCAATATTACTTAGTATTTGCTGACTTTAAATGTAAATTTCTTGTCCCAGATAAGCCAGGCGTGCTTACAGAACATATTAACCAGGAAGATGGCTTTCTCATATTTTTGCACTGCACAGTCGAATTATGTAACAGGATTTAGTCACAGAAGTGCTAACAGTATTCTTGTAGGTGCGACAAGATCTTTGAATATTCATAGGCTATTTATTTATTTATTAACAATACAGCGGCTTTCGAGCTTGATAAATAACGACGGCACATTATAGGAACTGGTGCCACAAAAGAAATAACTGGAATGTTAAAATGCCAGTAAGTAATTCAGGTTGGTCTTTCGAGATGAAAGTCTGAATCTTCATCCTGGGAGCTACTGACTGCCCATCAGCCAGACAGCGTTACTCGCTCATTAGTAGTTCAATAGACAATCAATCAAGTTTAATTTATTCATCTGAAGTTCCGTATGCAAGCTATGCAAGCTTGTGATTGTTTAGTTTAAAGTGCATAAAGAGCGTTTTGTATGGGGCTTCATTCACAGGCCATTTCTAGCTTTTTGGGGGCCCTGTGCAAGATTCTGTTTGGGGGCCCCTATTTTGTAAAACTATGACAGGGGGAATTCAAACCCTTTAAGATGATCCATGGTGATGCATCAGTTTGTTCCAATTTAAGAAGAAAACAGGCTAGATTCACGAATCTAAAATTGAAATTAAAGATGTCAAGTTGACCAAAGCAACTTAAACCTACAATTTAGGTTTAGCAGTTTAAATCTACAAATGAACACAGGTAATTTTACTTTTCCCCAAATATATTGAGGCTGAACTTGCAGCTTGGGGGGCCCTAGTGCTGCAGGGGCCCTATGCATCTACATAGTCCGCATATAGCAAGAAACAGCTCTGTTCATTCACCAACCTTCATGTTTGTTCACGGTGCTTATGGGAGTTTTACCCACACAACAATGTTCTGAGGGCATAACAAAAAATTATTGGTTCAGAGAGATACCCAATCAGATTATACAGGAGGTGGGTCCAAGCAACTAGAGGAGGCGGGACCAAGACATCTAATTGGCTGGTCCTGCCGCCTCTAGTTGCTTGGACCCAACTCCTGTACAATCAGAGCAGCACATGCTCCAGCCTGGGGCCAATCAAAATTTTCAATCTGGTCAGCCTGTCTTAAGTGAAGGAAAATTGATTGAAATAGACCATTTTATACGCAGACGCAAGTGTTTTTCAAAAAACAAACAGAAAAAAATCAGTCCCTTTTTTTAATACAGACTATTACCTTTGGTATGACACAAACTCTTGGAGTAGAGCTGGATTTCTCTGTCATCTGTTTTTTGTGCCACTGTCTTTCACCATTTCCTCCACCTTCCTTCTGCTGTTCTCTTCTACAACTGCCAGATCTTTATTTAGTATTGTGGTCTTGGCTGTTATTTTAACTTTGATGACTATTTTGATTTTAATCCACTCTGCTAGAGGCTGAAAAGATCAAAGGGAGCGGAAGTTCACAGGATTTAAAAGTATGTGAACAAGCCAGCAGGTTACAATGGAAGAATGACATGATCATAGAATCACTACGATATGTATCCTGGGCTGTTTGAGCTGTCAGAGACCCTCAAACTGATTTCTACAATGATGAAGTCATTCTGTGGATGTGGTGAAAGCTGTTAACCGAGTTTGGTGGGTGGGACGGCTGATTATTTAAGATTTTATCAAACAAGGTTAGATAAGGACCCTTGTATACGTCACATGGCTCTGTCTGATGTCCTACTGAGATCAAATCAGCATAAAATATATGAATTTCCTGATTTTACTGAAATAACAACGTTAGCATTTTCCTGCTAAATAACTCATAAAATGACTTTAGAGGCCACTTATAAGTGTAATCCTGCATATGAGGAGTTGGGCCCCCTTTGCAGCTATAACAGCTGCCCCTCTTCTGGGGAGGCTTTTCACAAGATTTTGGAGTGTGTCTGTGGGAATTTTTGCCCATTCACCCAGAAGAGCATTTGTGAGGTCAGTGACTGATGAACGTGAAGGCCCGGCTCACAATCTGCATTCTAGTTCATCCCAAAGGTGTTTGATGGGGTTGAGGTCTGGGCTCTGTGTGGGCCAGTCATGTTCTTGCACACCAGATTCATCAACCACGTCTTTATGGACCTTGCTCTGTGTACTGGGGCACAGTCATGCTGGAACAGAAAAGGCCCTTCCCCAAACTGTACCCACAAAGCATAGAATTATCTAAAATGTCTTGGTATGCTGAAGCATTAAGAATTCCCTTCCCTGGAACTAAGAGGTCTAGCCCAACCCCTGATGAACAACCCCATACCATTATCCCTCCTCCACCAAACTTTACAGTTGCCACAATGCAGTCAGGCAGGTGAAGTTCTTCTGGCATCTGACTCATATCCAAAGATAATAATGTGTTATTATTTACAGTTTTTTCCCCCCACAAACTATGATTTTGCAAAGACTGGGGATCTTGCAGAATCATTCTTTGCAAGACTGCAATTAGATTCGTTTCGATTTTGTTTTATTTTTGTAATAAAGGTTAATGTTTTACTGCTGTACATGTACATGCTTTTGGTTTACATGGAATAAAGCAATAACCAGCAAAATGTGTATTTATTCAACTTTTCTTTGTACAGAAAAATAACACTGCACAACAGGATAAAGCAGTGCAGAGCAGACAAGTAACTTTAAATAGCAGTGGAAATGCAATGCAGCCTGCATTCAAAATACCGTACCTTTGTACTGTAAATACTGTTTTTGCAGAATCTCTTCCATGTCAATCTACCTTACCTGAGATACTGTTTCCGCTTTGTTACTTACTGATTGGTGCTGAAGAGGGCTGTCTGATTGGCTTATTGACCATCCACGTCACTATTTGCGTGTCAAGGCTAAACACCCATGATCATTCTAAACACAATTGATTTGATTGGAATGTCAAGACGAGAAAAAGAGTCACTTAAAACAGCAATCCTGACCTCCATGCACCGAACAATTGAAGACAGCAGGATGCCACAAGTCCACCTGGGGCAGCGGTGGCCAATCTTATCCGCAAAGGGCCGGTGTGTACGCAGGTTTCCGGGGTAACCTTTAGGTCAGCTGCTCAAACCCAGGAGTGAGGACTGTTCACCCAATCAGACCTCTAATTAGGGAGTTGCAGCGAAAACCCACATACACAACAGCCCTTTGTGGATAAGACTGTGCAACCCTGACTTAGGGTGACCAACTAATCCATGTCGGGGGGGGGGGGGGGGGGGGGGGACTGGAAAACCCACGACAACATGGGGAGAACATGGCAACGAGCCATAGGGGAGACTGGAACCCAGGTCCCAGTGGTGTGAGGCGACAGTGCTAACCACTGCACCGCCCTGTTCGGCAAACATGTAGCAGTTAATTATTACACTGGGACGTGAACATTCGGGCTGGACTCCTCCTACATATCCATTAGCCATGCCCCCACTCACAGGCAGCACAACTGGCAGCCTAATCTCTGCTTCCGAGGCCATAAACATTCCATGATTCAGGACAATAATTAATTTACATACATGCAAAATAAATACACATTTGCCTCCGGCACAAAGGAATTCGTAACAATACTCCCAGGGCTTGAAGTGTGAACAAACAGGAGCCAGTACTCATCTTATTACTCACTACCGGTAGATTATGAGAGGTACCAGTACACATGAAACGTTCCCAGTACCCTGAAGAGAAAAACAAAGGGGTACCGGTACCATGTACAGGTGAGTACCAGCCCAGTTCAAGCACTGAACATTCACAGGTGATTTTAAATTTAAGGTAAAATAATAAAAGGCATATCTCCTACAGTTAGACTGAAAATGTGAATGGAGTTTAGATTCAAAGATGCATAGATATGACTGTATTGCTGTAGTATGTCCAGTCTAATTCATCCCTTAAGGCACATGAGATCACAGACTGAAACAGCAGTGGGGACGTGAGATCACAGACTGAAACCGCAGTGGGGACGTGAGATCACAGACTGAAACAGCAGTGGGGACGCGAGATCACAGACTGAAACAGCAGTGGGGACGCGAGATCACAGACTGAAACAGCAGTGGGGACAGTTCATCATCATACATTTATCCCCAAGCTGTACTTCCTCACAGTAAGGACCACAAGCTACACACTGCAAGGATGACAGTCTGAGTCATCACCAAGTCACTGACAGAGTAAGGACTCTGGCCTGAACCAAACACTGCGCCCCCTACCTGAAAGTCTTACACACTGCACAGCCAGGGCAGCTCTGCTCATTCCCGAGCATATTGTCATACTGCTACTCTCAGGATTTGATTGCTAACACTCATTAAAGCTGAATATGTTTAACGCAGTATATATTTTGTCATAGACTAAGGCTAAACCTTTGTATACATTTAATCCAAGCCCTGCATTCTGGGTAATAACACTCCTAATCCCCACTCTTGGCCTCATTGTTGTTCATTGCTTCCTTGTGACGTGCCAGAAAGGGGTATATGCACTTCTCAGCCCCTAGGAGGCGGTACATGCACACGATGGCCTCAAACGGCAGGATCCTGCAGGACAGACAAACATAGCACCCAGTAAGGCGACTGTTTATGAGGAGATCGCGTGCATAAAGGAGCAGGAAAAGATGCAAACGTACGCCTTCATGAAGGTCACCATGTACATGCTGCGAGGCATACAGATCAGGGGCTGTTCAGTCAGGATGGCCTGCATCGCTTGTTGAACACAGTACTCTGGCTGTAGGGGGGGCAGGAAGGATGCAATCTCTCTTCTGTACAGACAGGAAGAAGGATGACAAGAAGCTCTCAGAATTCCAGCATCCTGCCAGAGTGCACTACAGACATACACTAATGACTGCACTAAAACCGATCTCCTACCGGATTTTGCAGCTTCTGAACATGCCCGCGTCCACAAGAAAGGGACACACCAATGTCATTTTGATCCCATCTTTTTCTGCAGCCTTCAGCTCATGGCTGAGGGACTCGTGGAAGCCGACGGCCCCGAACTTGCTGGCACAGTAATCCTGAAATCAGGAAGTAGTGGTGATGGGGAAGGACAGTTTGAGGAACGCAGGGTTGTGTTAGTTCAAGTTCAGACTAACTACCCTCATGCTGTACTGAAGTACAGCTCACCTGTTAACTGCAAAGCAATAATAAATAAAATAAAACAAGGAAGAATTCCACCAGACTTCTTTACCCCTGCAATATAGACTACGACTAATTTATCTACAAGATACGATACTAAAATGGGAACGGCCCATAAAAACGTGGTGCACAGCAGCCAGACAATGCAGGAATGTCAACCGGCCACTCGACAGTGTTTAGCGTCTTCAGACTCATTTCAGCAGCAGAACCAAAGCTTTGCATGGGCAGGTCCTGTTCTGAACCCACCTCCACACCAGCGGTGCTGAACAGCCCCAGGGAGCTGGCCACAGTTACGATGTGGCCGCGGTTAGCCTCCAGCATGTCCGGGAGGAAGGCTTTGGTGGTCTGTTACAAGGTAGGAAACTGGTTGGTGGCTTATTACACACAAGACAACAGCAGACTGCGATTGTACACTGGAATATAGGGTTTAGCTCTCAAATTCAAAAACAGATATGGTGTGAGAAACGTCCAGGTGGGAAACTGAGTACCTAGGGGCAGAGGTTTTCTCCCCAAGGGAAAAAACTCACCCAGAAGTGGGCGTGACAGTTGACCATCAAAGTCCTCTCAATCAACTCATCTGGGCAATCCAGTAGGTGGTGGCCGGAGACGACGGCAGCGCTGTTCACTAGCAGGTCGACGGGGCCCACTTCACGCTTCACTCTCTCTGCCGAGGCGTACACACACTCACGCTTTCCCACATCACACTGGTAAGTGTATACCTGAGGAAGAGGACCATCTGAAACAGAGAGCTCCAGAACGTTATGCTAGTAGTGCTCCTGGGACTTGCATCTGTAAAACGCACACCTATAAAAATCAGAGCTCTTTAAAAAACAAAATTACAGTGAAAAGCTTATTTATATGTTACTATCTGATACTGTACACTTAGAACCCAAAAGCTGTACACACCGCTGTTTTTACTATCGATATGCCGCTTCTCAGAAAGTTCAGGTAGCCATTCCAAAAGTCATTTACAACATCCAAAAAAATCCAGTTACTTCAGTGTTCAAAAGATCAACTGTGACTTGCATTACGAGTAAACTCGTCCCCGCAACACACGACGGCTAAATCATGCACTAAAACGACTAAAAAGTGTTTTATCCAAATAAAACGACTAAGAAGTGTTTTAGCCAAATAAAACTCACCCTCTCCAGCTGTGGGGCTGGACGTGTCCCGGTAGATCCGGCGCACCATCTCTGCGGTCTCTTCGTTGCTTTCACTGTTGATATCCCAGAGGACCAACACTGCCCGTCTTCGGGCGAATTCCTTGGCCAACAGCCGACCGAGACCCCTACCCGCCCCGGCCACCAAACACACCTGCCCCGCAACGCTTTTTTCTTTTTGCCGTACAAACCATTTCAACCCAGACTGTACGAAAGCCCAAAGTACTTTAAAAGTCACCAGGAAAAATTCCGAAAGGATACTCACTGTGTCTGACATGATATGGAAAAACAATAACAATATAGATCAAGAACAATCAAAATAATTTTTATTATATTAGTTTTTTTTTGATTGAATAAAATAAATCTAACTAATCATTGCATAACGGGGGCAATTAATAAAAAACACGACCTTTACGCAACAGAAGAGCACAAACATACAGTTAAGAAAAGTTTTTCTTGAATAAAAATTAGTATTGCCAATAAGAGAAACTTTCGCAAATAATCGCTAGTAAACAAATCCGGACCAATAACGCGATCTGTTGACAAACTCCATTTAAACCTTCCATACCCAGAAGGACCTTTGGTTATAGGTCGATATTCTATTGCCTGAAATAATTATTTTCCGGAAAGTTGTAAGTTGTAGGAAGTACTATTTGTAGTATATCTATATTTTTTCCTCATGGTGAAAAAATCATAAACATAAGGGTTTTAATGGGTTTTTATGGTTTTGACTTTTAGGACACTTTTACTATGTAAGATTGCCTTCATTTATACTTATATAAAATCAGGCATCAGGAAGACATCCACTTCCTCCTTCGTCTCTTATAAGTGCGGTCTGCGCATGCGTATGGCCCTCTTTTACGGTGGGGATAATGGCGGGCGAAGAGTGAGTTCGTTTTTCTGCTTTCAAAATCCTTTTCCATCGTCTAGTAGTTCTTAATCTATTCAAATGTTTTACCATAACCTGAAAGCTAATACATATAAAGTTATATTTAAGCCTTTATTTTTTATAAGCCCGTTGCCTTATTGGCACAAATTTGGATCATGTCCGCTCTTCCATTAGATATGGTGGAAACAAACGTGTTGTTATTTCTGCAATACTCAGACATTGAATTCATTAAACGTACACGTTGATTTTTTAATAATTTGTGGTTTATCTCTGCGTTTACTGTCTACAATTGGTAACAAATGTGCTGTTGTATCTGAAATAGCTGCTATAGTAGCATGTGTTTTCAACCTTGTTTTACGTGCCCTTCCATTGTCAGTATAGTCTAACATGGTATTATGCAGTTTTTGTTAATATTTGGATATTTTATTCATAGTTATTTGCTTATGGAATTTAAATTATTATGCTAAGTTTGCGTAGCATGATTACTAGGCCTCTCGAATGCTTCGCTGTAATAAGGCATGCTTCCCGGTGCGGTAATTTATTAAACCCTAAATGTGCCCCTGTTTCAGAGGGAAGAAGGTACCTACTGTTCCCGAAAGCCTTTTGAAAAGGCGAAAGGCCTACGCCGCACAGAAGGCTCTGCGCATCAAGAAGATGCTGGCAGAGAAGGCGGTACGGACTCCTGACTGTATAGTAATGCTGACCCAGTCAGTATGAGCACTTTACGTGGCCTCATGTCCTCACATGCCGTACATTTTTGAGGGTAACACATCTTGTGTCTCCAGGCCCGCAAATCCAGAAGAAAGCTGATCTACAAGAGGGCTGAATGCTACCATAAGGAATACAAAGAGATGTACAGACGGGAGATCCGCCTGTCCCGAATGGCCCGTAAGGTTGGAAACTACTATGTCCCCGCAGAACCCAAGCTGGCCTTTGTCATCAGGATTAGGGGGTATGTAGAGCTGTGAACCAGCGAGTGCCGCTTGCCTCAGTTTGTGGTTGATGATGGAGTTTTTTCCCCGTCTTATCGACCATGGAGATACCTTCACGACTTAAGCCAGTGTTGTCTGAAATCACAGCTAGCCGTGTCCAGGATAAGTTTCTGGATGTCGCATTGTATGCTCAGTGTGTCTCTACGCTTCCAGAATCAACGGTGTCAGGCCCAAGGTCCGCAAAGTCCTGCAGCTTCTTCGCCTGCGACAGATCTTCAACGGCGTCTTCGTCAAACTGAACAAGGCCTCCATTAACATGCTCAGGATTGCTGAGCCCTACATCGCGTGGGGGTGAGATGATTTTATTTTTTCTTCTTCCCCCATGGTGGTATTTGATTGTCAGGTTGCTGAGTTCTACTCGGACTACAACCTAACATGTTGAAGGACATTTGACAGGGTGGTCTGGACCTATAAATGCACTGAGTGCATGATCTTTCTATACATGACTGCTTATTGTAAAATGCCCTGTTCCTTGTTGCTAGATATCCCAACTTGAAATCCCTGCGTGAGCTTATTTACAAGCGTGGCTATGGCAAGATTAAGAAGCAGCGCATCGCTTTGACCGACAATTCCCTGATTGAGAGATCCCTTGGTAAGCGTTTTGCTTGGAGACATAGCCGGAAATGACTTGAGTGTTTTGAAGTATTGATGAGCTGATGGCTTCTTGCAGTTCCCTCCTGTCTAAGTGTGGTTTTGTTGCAGGAAAATATGGCATCATCTGTGTGGAGGACCTGATCCATGAAATCTACACTGTGGGGAAGAACTTCAAGGCAGCCAACAACTTCATGTGGCCCTTCAAGCTGTCCTCTCCCCGTGGCGGCATGAACAAGAAGACCACACACTTCGTTGAGGGAGGCGATGCCGGAAACAGGGAGGACCAGATTAACCGGCTGATCAGAAGGATGAACTGAGTGTTCATGGTAAGACCTTGTGTGTGATGTTTATCCCCATTGGGGGCTTGCATCGCTTTTGTTCTGCTTCTGTAACTGTAGCCTTATGTTAGAATGGAACTTGTAAACTAGTCTTTTGTACTGGACAGTGAAGCTGGCTTCCTGTTCATGATTTTGATCTTTAAAACCCTTTCTTGAAGTATCATCCCACTGGATATTTTACTGAAGCAGGCTGAGATGTGCCGTTCAATAGTTATTGTACTGGAGCATAAACCAACAACCCTTAGCATACATGATGCCCAGTAACTAAGTTTTTGTGCCGACCCTTTATAGCAGTTGAACTGTTAACTTTTGTGATTTTAAATTCTGAATTAGCTCTAATTGTTTTTTTAAGCCCTTAAGTGAGGTTCCATTGATCTTCACTAAAAGGTACTTAACCTGGGTGATATTCTATGGTAAAGCATTAATCAGTAATGTGGTGTTTGTTAGGGTTTTTTTGTTTACTTTTGCTGCTTTCATACTCTGAGATATATTGGTGTTAACTGGACTGATGGCTCTATGTTAATTGAATTTTCTGGTTGAGAGATTCAATTCATTTTTCTTTGCAGGAGAACTGAAGTCTGGACTTACTCAAAAGTACAAAATAAAAACCTTTCACAGAATCTCTGCCTTTTTAATTTTCACTATAACAAAAGATGGTGTCTGAGTACCGTATTGGACCATCAGGCCCTGAACTTGTTGGTGAGGTTTACGGTTAAATATCCATTGGCTGACTTAAGGAGTTTAGGCAAAATACTTTTAATTTCAGTCACTTTCTGTTAACATTGTGCCTTGTGGGATACAGATGCAAAGATATTCAATGTCATTGCTGCTGAAACATTTTAACTGGGCTTAATTCTCTTCATTCAGCTGATTTTGTTTAACCAGCTAACTCAAGCCCAAAAGCATCCCTTTTACTTGGTTTTTGCTGGCCTTACCCCAAATGCTTGTGATATTCCATCTATTTATCTGGCGTCACTTTTCTTGTATCCAAGTCTTATGGTGGAGCAAGTTTAAAGCTAAAAATGACACTTCACACTCAAACTGACCTGAGTTCAGTGAGGCCTAACCTTCCACATGCGCTAGTCAAAAATGGCATATGTATGTGCTTCAGGCGAATGACCACTAGGGGGTAGAGTCTTCCTCTTCTAAAGCATGAAAATGTGTTGTGTGCTTACTGGGCTATTGGTATAATCTGCTGTTTTGTGTCTGGGTTGCACAAGGTCTTGATTACATTACATTCATAAATTTACAAAAATGGAGCCACTTTGAAGCGCTATGCAATTTATGCAAAAAAATGAATGATTATAAAAATGTTTCAGATGTGTTTCATTATGTTCTAACCTGCTTGTCAATATTATCCTAATTACCTGACTTCTTACTGCAGAAGTAGATTGCCATTCAGCACTGTATAAGCAAAGCCAAATGACCTTTAGCCTTCTAAAAAAGAGTGTGAAAAGACGAAAAAGCACCATTTCAGTCAATTTTCAGGATAGTTAGTGAACTTTAAAATGTGGTATATTTTTAAAATACAAAGTGTTTATACGTTAATGCATTGAGTATATCTGAATAATGAAATTGTGAAAGTGGGAGTTAATGGTGTCCACGTGAAGAACCATACTTACCGTGATCCCGTTTGACTGGAAACGTTCGGCATCTTATTTGTCAATGAAATATGGCACTATACACACATTTAGAAGCACGATGTGAACTCGGCATGTTTCAAACATAGTTTGTCTAGGGAGATGCTCAGAAACCCATTTAATTACTATTCTAAATGCAGGTATGAAATGCTAACAGAACCACACTGAAGAAATGTGTATTTATGATTTTATTGTATCCATATCAAGCAGACGTTTTTATGGTATCTTTTGGCCAAAAGTTCAATTACCATATCAATGCATTAATTTATGCATGTATCTGTCATGGACATAATACACCAAATCTAATTAGTTATATTAATGTATGAGACAATCAGTGGTGAATTGTTAGCTAACCAGGCAAAGGTGTTTCTGCAAGATAATGGAGACCAAAGAGTACTGAAAGGTGTGCTCTGCCTAACTTAATAGACTAGTCATTTTGCTCACGAGATGGTAAGTAGAATGTGCCGGATGGCTGAAGCCTTCCCCTCTTTTTAACCCCCCAGCACATAATACTGTGACAGCGAGACGTTTATTCTGATCAGGAAGTCTCAGTAGGCTAAAAACGCTAATTAAGCTGCACCGCTAAGATATATATGCAAATCCCAAAGCAGCAGTTAGCTGTATATAATAGTCAGAAGTAGCAGTCGGAGTCATGATCATATGAAGTACCAGTAGTATGTTTGTGCTCGTCAAGGCACCAAACCTTCATGGTGCATTTCAACTTTAAAATTTTCACTGAAAATGGTAGAGAAGGTGATATGTTGTACGAGAGCATATTCACAAAGTTATGTTGACGTCATGTTGCCTAAATCTGGTATAATTGTAAGACAGATTCATGGTGCTACAGCAGTCTAACGGTAAATATTAATAGCTGAGAACATGTTATATTTCTGCTAAAAATAATGTTGTTTCTCTTGTGAAGATCGTTATGTAGCCGTGTGCATTCTGTCTTCACTTTTAGTTTTGAATTTGTCACAGGATTGAAAGACACAATGCTACATCATCTTCCCCATAGGAAGAACTATACACAGGCTAAACCTTCACATACATTCTCAAATGCATGCTCCTTGAAGGGCTTCTCTAAAAAGAACATCTGGGAGTTTCTCAGAGGAGAAATTCAAGGCTAAAACTTGTAGATTTCATTAAAAAAGCTTTCATATGGCAACACGTCCTGTACTCGGTGTGAATCTACTTTCAGCAGCTCTTCAGACGGTGGTTGCACTGACATCGAGGATCAGAATTAGGAAACTTATCATGCCATGCGGAATATCTGTTTGACCAAACTTGCATGCCTGCTATTCGATAGACCCCTGATGTGCCGCCATTAGTTCCTCTGCTTGATCATGAGATCACGCTAAACAGTCACCTGTTGATGATTTCTCTGCATGGCCATGTTCTGCTTTCACAGCGGGGAGGAACGGGCTTCCATGCAGTGCTTATGTAAACAAGGGATTTTCCCCTTTCCGTTCTGTCTTGCCTGCTCCAGTGCTATGGGCTACTCCCTGGGAGCAATTCTGTGTGCTATGTTTGGGTGAGTCCAAGTAATTTTTCCCATGGGGGTCCTTGCTGAGTGAGACCAACTCAAACTGAGACCCCAGGCTTGAAGACTGAATGGAGTTATCAAAATAAGGAGAGGAGCAATGAGAAGCCCCACTTTCAGGCTGGAAGATGGTACTTGCTCCACTGATGGGGCTCTCAGTATCCGTGCCTGGACTTTCACTGAAGTTAACCTTCAGACCTTTGGCTACTTGGTGGCTCCCTCTCAGGGAACTCCTGAGCGTGCCACCAACAAGGGTCAAGGGTATCGGCTGATGGGAAGGGTGTCCACTGTCATACAAGCCACTGTAGGGGGCTCCACCACACTCCAGGGATGAGATTTGACTCAGGTCTAGTGGAGGTGGGGCTCGGGGGTGTTTGGCCTGCTCCCGACCATTGAGAACCTTGTCATCCTCGACAAACTCAGTGGAGCAGCTGGTGTAGCTCTCATTGCTTGATGTGCTCCTGCCATCCGTGACAGGACGGTCTACTGGAGAGTTTGTGCTTTTTTCTAATGCCTTATTGCATTCTTCTGCTGAGATTAATACGCTCAGTTTAGCTAGTCCAGGAGAATATGGTGGGGACTGGGTCATCTTGTTGTACCTGTTCTCCAGGGTCTGAACACTAAGATGCTGGGGACTTGTGCTGGGGCTGTGGAGCTGAGCCACTTGGTATTTCACACCCGAAGCCTTTGGACTAGTGGGAGGGACGTGCTTTGGGGAAAGATGATTGTCCAGGTCTTGCTTTTTGTCCTCTTCATCAACCACTATATCCATCAGATCCTCATTGTGGGCAAAACTGTCCTTCATATTCATTGACACAATGCTCCCATTCCTCTTGGCACGTTCCAAGGCCTCTCTCCTCTTGATGGCTTTTTCCTGCCGTTTCTGCTCTTTATAGAACTCTGAGAAGTTGTTCACAATGATGGGAATGGGCAGGGCTATGACCAACACACCTGCGATGCAGCAGAGGCCACCGATTATTTTACCCAGAAGGGTTTGGGGATAAATGTCTCCATAGCCTACAGTTGTCATGGTAATGGTGGCCCACCAGAACGAAGCCGGAATGCTGGTGAATTTTGTGGCGTCTTCATCCTTTTCGGCAAAAAACACGAGACTGGAGAATATCATGATGCCCATAGCGAGGAAGAGGATGAGCAGACCCAGCTCATTGTAGCTGCGGCGTAACGTAAAGCCCAATGACTGCAGACCCGTGGAGTGCCGTGCCAGCTTGAGTATGCGGAGGATGCGCATGATGCGGAAGATCTGCACCACGCGCCGGACATTCTGGAACTGCAGCACGTCCTTGTTGGACTCGGTCAAGAAGATGGTGATGTAGAAGGGCAAGATGGCCAGCAGGTCGATGATGTTGAGGGGACCCTTGAAGAACTTCCATTTACTGGGCGAGGAGAGGAAACGCAGCAGGTACTCCATGGTGAACCAAGCGATGCAGATGGCCTCCACGTGTGCCAGCTTGGGGTTGTCTGTGGGATGTCCAAATTCATCAACGTCTTGGAGATCCGGCAAGGTGTTCAATGACAGGGCGACGGTGGACATAACGATGAACAGGATGGAGATGATGGCCAAGATCTGTAGGAAAATCAAAGACAATTTAGCTGGTTATGTCACCAACGACAACATTAGAGTTGACGCATGGGGCAAACTTTCCACTTGAGTGCCAGAGAGGAACAAATGTTTTTGATAATTGTTCAAATTACTGATCACCAGAGACGACTGGTCCATAGAAGAACACTCTTAGAAAAAAGGGTAAAAATTTGTACCTTTCCTTGTCACTGGGGCTGTACCCTCAAGGGCCTGCCAACTGTACCCTTAGCTGTAGGTAACTGTACCTTTTAAGGTACAGAAATTGACTCTGAGGAACATTTTGTACCATTACAGGTACATTAATACTGTTTGTACCACCCTTTTTTCTGAGAGTGTACTGGAGGTAGTACCTCCCCTATTTTTGTGATTAAATTGTAAAATAAACAATTTAATAATTTCTGTTTGTTAAATCATTTTCTTGGTACTGCACTTGGTGAAAATCCCAGGAAGGTGGTTGTTTCTGAGATGCTGGGACCATGATGTGTGGCACCAACAGGATGTTCAAAATCACTAAGATCAGGAATGTTAGCCGCCGTGATGCTCGGCGAGCCGCCTGACCCCTGCCTGCATGCTGTATGTATTACCTTGCAGCCACGTGATACTTGATTGCGAGCAACTGAGTGCGCGATTCATGGTTTTTAAAGAAGAAGAAATGATCACATGAATGGGTATATAGAAACAGAAATCAATCCAAGAACCCAATACCACCAATAATATTAGGTACATGTATTATCCGAATATAATGCAGGTGTATTGTTTTTAAGGTTTGCTTTGCTGTATTTATAGTGTTTTCCATCTGTTTTGCATTTCAGGTTCTTTAGTTTGCGCTGACCTTGCACT